GTGATTTCGCGCAGAGGAAATGTGCCATGGCCACCAAGATCGTGCGATTTGACTCCCTTGGACTTCTTTTTATGGGGATATTTGAAAAGCAAAGTCTACGTCAACAAACCAGCCACCCTCCAAGAACTCAAAAACAACATCATTGCCGAGATAAATGCCATAGAACCGACCATGTTGCAAAATGTCATTGAAAATTTCGACCATCGCGTGAACGTCTGTAAATCCAGTCGTGGTGAACATTTGAGCGATATTATTTTTCATACATAAATGGTATAAATGAACCTTCAAAATAAAGTACCCAACTTGATTTAAATATCAATCTTTCTTGTTTTAATATGCGTTTACTTTCCTGCGTCCATTTTGGACAACCCCATATAAGTATTGCAACAACACGGAAGCATCTGTAGACAATAAATTAATTTTTTGTTAGAAAGTTTATACAAGTCACGCAATATTCCATGATCTATTTACCTCAGGTAAGTGGTTTTAACCAAATTTGTTGTGTGTGAATCCTCATTATCATGATCACATGGATACAAAATACATTTCTTTTTAATAAAACTATTCTGCAGGAATACATTGTTACTTAGTTTGTTCATTTGAATGATCATAGCTGTAATTCTTCGGTGCATTATTGGAGTGATATTTTTATGACCATTCCTCTCGTCTTGATTTATACCAATCACAAACGCACAAAACTTGACAGCTGAAAAAATACCTTTCATAGCATGTAATTATGGTCTTCTAGGACACCAGAAAACGACGGTAAACAATTTTTCCGATTTTGTAATACAGGGTGGCGCATCGAAAACGAAACAGACGCATTTACTGGCAGGTCAGTTTTTTTTTAAACGCTCAGACCCGTCGATTTTGTTTTCGAGGGGGACACAAGTTTGGCAAAAAATCACGTTAGCACGTGCAGCCCCCTAAGCGGGGGTGACACCATCCCCAAAATCTTAAATGGAAAGGGGGGTCGAGTGATACCTTATTTTAAAGGTCCTTCAATTCCCTTTATAATGATATAAAATTAATGTACTTCAGTTCAGTAGTTTTGAAGATTTATTGATTTGAAGCTTAAAGTAGACTTTAATAGGTACATCATAAAAAACATAAAACTGAGCTACCAGTAAATGCGTCTGTTTCGTTTTCGATGCGCCACCCTGTATTGTTTTTAAACAGAGCTAGTCAGCTTATGTAGTGAAAATAAGTCGCTTTGGAAGTGATTCTTTGGCTAATATTGACCTGGCGATTGAGAAAAATGTACCGTACAATACAGTTAAAACCCATACGTCAATATTTCAACAAAAAAATCAGATGCTCCCATGATTTTACTTATGAAAAAAGTTGTATTTGAGCCACATGTATAGGTATAGCTGTTATACAGGGTGTCCGCAAAGTTGGGGTTTTCCTTTTCAGAAACAACTACCCTTGAAATAACAAAGGTAATGTGTAGTAAAACGAGGGCGACCAAGTAAAAAAAAATAAAGGAAAGAGTACTTACTCTCCAGTTGACGAGAAGGGCTAAGTACGTCTCTGCCCGAAATCATACCGCTCCAACAGAAAATGAAATCAGCTGATGCGCTACCGAGCAGACGCAGGCAAACAAGGAAGCCAAAATGTTGCGTAAAAAGTCTAGGTATTGCATCCCGTCCAATCGATTTGGGTGAATAAATGGTCCAATGAGCATATCGTTTACCATGCCAGCCCAAACATTCACCGAAAATGTTTGTTGAAAATGTGCCCGACGGACAGCGTGCGGATTTTCTACTGACCAAACATGAGTGTTGCGAAAGTTATTCACCCCATTACGCGTGAACGTAGACTCGTCTGTCACCAATATGCACTTCAAAAAGTCCGGATTATTGTCATGTTGATGCAACAACCACTCACAAAACCGCACTCTTGCTGGAAAATCGTCAGGTTGAAGGGCTTGTACACGTTGGACGTGAAACGGATACAGCCTCTCTTCACGCAGCGTTTGCCACACTTTAGTTTTTGATACTTGCACTTCTCTAGCCACGTCTCTAGTGCTTGTTGAGGGATTCTCGTCTACGCGATTAGCTCTACACGCGTGACCGTAACCGTCGGTTGAAGGTCGCATACTGACCTGATACACTGACTCCGACCCAGTTCTATCGTCGGGTTTAGCTAGTGTCCTAGTACCACTCGGGGATGTCGCGGCTACAGGACGGTACTCAGATATTTTTGATGTTGCAGAGCCCTTTATCTCGATTCCCTTAAGACATTGGTGTATATGGTACTAAGAAAAATTGATTATGTTTTCAAGATCTACACGTCGTGTAAAGGAAAACCCCAACTTTGCGGACACCCTGTATTTTCTACATAATCCATTAAGCACTGAATTTTTTATTATTGCAACAATACTTCAGATAGCTACAATCAATAATCCATCTTGTTATGTGCGAGTACTTGTGCATGCAGTGCCTTTCAGAAAGGGTCAAGTTAGGAAGCTGAAATTGGTAATGATGCATTGACGCATATTTTAACGCATGAATAACAGTTGAAAATATCAAGATGGAGACTGGGTGCAATTTTGTAACATTTTTTCAAACGGAAAGGGGTGTTAAGTAAATCCTTATAGGTACTTCTTAACCCCAGAGTATAAAATAACCTTTCAAAATAGCGGTCTGCGAGCCTTTCAGTGTTGAACGCTTTGTACTTTGAATCGTTTACAACTGAACAATTAATCAGTAAACTGTTATAGTACGAGCCCCTTTCCACTTCAGTTGGCCCAACTATTGAAATCTTAGTTTTTTTCTTATCAAACACAAATAATAAAAATGCAGCCGGGTGTTATAGGTTTAAAATATTAACAAGGAATATTTTGATAATATATAGTAGAAAACACCAACTTTATCACTCCCTAATCAAATTTGCAGCATAAAAATAACACATGTTGCAATTACAGCATATCAACCTATTTTCATTTCAATGCAAAATAAGTCTATAACTCATAGGTGGCTGTGAAAAATAAAAGCCATGACAATTTTTTTTATTAATCACAGCTGTCAGAATACGTTTAAAATAGTTTTGGCTAATTAAGGTTTTCAAAATGGGTAGAGGAAAGGTTATTAGTGAGAAAATTCGCTTACTGATAATTAAATTTTTTAATTCTGGGAAATCAAACTCAGAAATTGCAACTTTGTTAGACTTATCGCGGTACAGTGTGAGAAATATTGTTAGAAGATATAACGTAACTGTTTCAGTTAATTTTAAGCCACGATATGTGACAAAAAGTAATATCACAAATGTCGACCGAAGAGCATTAAAAAGAATAATCGTGAAAAACAGGCGTGCCAATTATTTACAATTAAGTGCTCTGTGGAGTGAAGCTGTTGGAAGGAGAATTTCGAGGTCCACAACTGATAGAGAGGCCCACAAACTGGGATTTAGCACTTGCAAGGTAAGTTTTCTTATAAAAAAAAAGTGAAGTAAAAACCCTAAAGTTGCACAACTTGTTTATAGGACAAAGAAAAGCCACAATTAACTCCACTGCAAAAAGAAAAATCGGCTTAGATGGGCTAAAGAACATAGACAATGGACACCTCAACAATGGTGTGCAATACAATGGAGTGATGAGACCCGATTCGAAGTTTGTGTAGGTGACAGTCGCAGTAGAGTTATTCGCAAAAAAAATGAAGCATTCCATGTTGACTGTCTGAAGAGAAAAGTGAAATTTCCAGCATCCATTATGGTCTGGGGCAGTATGTCATCAAAAGGAGTAGGAAAACTTCATTTTAATGATGGAAATGTGGATACAAACAAATATTTGGCAATTTTAGAAGAATCGCTTTTACGAGTCATGGAAGAATGTTTGACATCCGGCCAAGATTTTGTGTTTCAGCATGATGGTGCAGCGTGCCATACCTCAAAAAAGGTTATAAAATGGATGGAAGAAGATAATGTACCACTTTTGAAATGGGTTTCTAGCAGTCCAGATCTGTCACCTATTGAAACTTTGTGATACGAGATGAAAAAGGTTCTACGACAACATCCTGCTCGTACAATCACCGAACTGAGACAAAAGCTTCAAGAAATATGGGATTGTTTTACACCAAATTTTTTCCAAAACTTGGTTAACACTATGCCCCACAGAATTTCAGCCGTAATAAAAAATAAAGGTGGTGTTACCCAATGATAATCTTTCAATTGTTGCTTTGTTAACTTCGCGCATTTATTCGCACATTGTTTATTTGTTCAGATATTTATAGGTCTAAGTGATTTCAAATATGTATTTTTTACGACTAGAGCGTATCTAAAATGTTTTTGAGAAAATAAATTTTATTATTATTATTTTAGTTTATAAAGGCATATTTTGGTACAAATCTTGAAGTGGGCCAACTGAACTGGGAAGGAGCTCGTATATTATACCAATATCATTCTTTTGGAAGGATCTATCTGTATCTGCGGTAACAGAAAAATAACAGTTTCTGCTAATTTTCTTAATGTTCCATATTCCATTATAAGCTCGGATAGACACACACAAAACATTCCTGTGGCTCCTTAGCCTCTTCATTCGCCTGGTTTGAGTCTTTGTGACTTTTGTCTCTTCCCGAAGTTAAAAATCAGCTCAAGTGGGTCAGTCGAAAACATGCAAACGGCTGTAACAGCTCAAGGCGAGGAGTGAAAGAACCGACTCTAGCAGATAGTGGCTCCAGGAAGGAAATAATTTTGAGAGTGACAAAATTGTAATTATATTTTAATGAAAAAATCAATCTCATCACCTAATTTACAAATCTCGGATTATGTGAGCTTTTAATGTATATGGGAGTACCATTAACAACTAGCAACCATAAAAACCATTCCCTTTTTCAACCAATTTTAATCCCACAAACCAATCAGTATTGCATTCTTTTTTTTAAGCAATAAAATGAAATGTTCTTTTTTCCGATCCATTCTCCCCCAAGAATATTCAAAACGACTACCAACAGGCGTCACACCTACTTTATTCTACAATTTCACGATTCAATGTCACTTACCTTGACAGCCGAAACAGGAAATTGCTTCAATTTGGAATTCCTTATGTACAGCTCGTTGAGAGTGTAGTTGATTCCAAGAAAAGTATGCTCTTCTACGGCCTCTATCGGAGTATCGAGTATATGCAGCACCTTCAAGATTAACTTGTGGAACAGACTACCATACAGTCGAGCTGAAAGGAAAAAATATTTTAATTATAAACTCAGAATGCAAGACGTAAAAATACGGGGAGCACTGCATGTCTTTGAAAAATGTACGGACCTCTTCCTGCAACAACCGAAGAACAAAGAAATGACGATCGAGTAGCCAAAATTGAAAGCATAACATACAGATTAGACAGCTTGAAAGTTGAAAGTACGCGGTTACTCTATTCCTGGATTGAAACAAACGTTGACGAAAACACACAGTTGTAGAGCGGAAGAATATGAGCACACAAACTCTTGTATTAAAGGTGCAGCAAAGAGAGAATCGGTAGAACAACAGACCATATTGGAGACAACGAAATTCAATGGAAGATCAAACAACAAAATCAATTGTACCAAAAGCTACTTCGAAACGGAGATGATGGAACAAGAACAAGATTTAGACGTTTAAATAGAGAATCCAAACAAGAAATGATCGAAAAGGATAACATGGAGAGCATATTTACAACCAAATAGGGGACACTAAGAATTTGGAGGGCGCGAAGAGCTGTAAGGGTAGAGGTAGATGCTGTGTAAGGGAGAAGTGCATTTGGTCAAAATCAAGGGAAAAGGGTCATAGGTATAGACAGATACACCCGTCGATTTTTCGCCCAGTTTAAATGGTTTTATTTTAATAAAAGTTGGTGAATGTATTTATCTTACTGTAAATAACAAGTGAAAAAATGTTCAGCCTTATCAGTTGGACATTCCGGTTTTTATACTGCTTTTTTTTAATTCACTAACGCTCTAAAAATGAATATTTCAGCCGCAGTAAAGAATCAACGTTGGCGGATTTTGGTTCTTGACATCCTTTACGATCGGTTACGATGCCTAGAGTACGGAGACCTGTACGATTTCGTCAACTTAGTGAGTTTGATAGGGGCCGTATAGTGGGACTTCGGGAAGCTGGACTTTCTTTTCGGGCAATTGCAGTTAGAGTGCAAAGAAGTGTAGACACTGTGGTTAGGTGTTGTCAGGCATGGCTTCGAGAAGGCCGTACGCAAAGAGCAAGGGGCACTGGACGCCGCCGTAGAACAACAGACCGTGAAGATCGCCGCCTAAGATTATTGGCCTTAAGGGACCGTTTCTCCACTACCAGGTCCATTGCAAATGAATGGTTTGCAGAACACGGAAGACCTATTGGTATGCGAAGTGTTTACCGACGAATGAGAAGTTTTGGCTTGTTTTCATACCGGCCACACTGGGTCCTCCCTTTAACTCGAGAACACCGACGCAATCGCCTTGAGTGGTGCAGACAACGGTCACTCTGAGATCAGGAATGGAACAGTATTGTCTTTAGTGACGAGTCTCGATTTTGTTTAGGCATGCACGATGGTCGTGCCAGGGTTAGAAGGCGACGTGGTGAAAGGAGGAGTCCACAGTTTTTTGTTGAAAGACATGTTCATCACACTGTTGGAGTTATGGTTTGGGGTGCTACAGCTTATGGTTTCAGGTCACCTTTAATCTTCATCATAGGTAACATGAACGCGCAGCGTTATATCCACGAAGTTCTAGAACCCCATCTTTTACCCTATATTGACACCCTGGCAGATCCAACTTTCCAACAAGGTAATGCCCGACCACATGTTGCAAGAGCCACAATAGACTTCTTTCAACATAATGGTGTCACATTGTTACCATGGCCACCAATCCCGACTTATCCCCAATTGAGCACGTGTGGGATATAATGGGTAGGAGATTGCTCAATTTGCAACGTCCTCCTCAGACTCTAGAAGCACTTCGAGAGGAGTTGGTGGTTGCCTGGAATGAGATACCACAGGAGGACATTGACCACCTGATCAGAAGCATGCCTAGGCGCGTTGGAGAATGCGTAGCACATCAGGGTGCATCGACACATTATTTATTAAAGGTCAAAGGGCTTTAAAGCAGTGCAATCATTTTGAAATTTTTATCATTTACTTATTATGCTTCATTAAGTACTTATACAAAATTTTATTAAAATAAAACCATTTAAACTGGGTGTTCGGATTTATATGTCACTTAGTATATTTACATTAATTACATTTGTAGAATCCTGAAGAGGCTGAATTAGTAAAACAGCTTTCCACAAATTTATTGTATTTCGATATTCAATATTATAAAGATTGAAAGTGGTAATGAGCATATTATCTACTTGAGTGAGTCACAATCAGTTCCGAAACCAAAGTCATTAAGCCAAGGGTATATATTATCTCAATCAGATTTCACACGATATAGAATATTGATTAGTGTGAATCTTCAATTGTTTTTAGAGGAAACCGTGGGAGCTGAAAATTGATTCGTATTTAAGATACCATAAATTACAGAAGAAATCGAAGAAGTTAACCGCAAAGGCAAATTGAGTTTTTCTTCGATGTTAATTTATTACTTTCCGTCAATAAACGATGGCTTAATACTCTAATGAGAAACTAACGATAATAATTATCGTCAATCGATGTATATCCTTAAATATAAATACTAGGCTGTTCCGAAAAAAATGAAAGTTCTTTTCTTTGAATCTTATACTCGTATTTCTTAGATGTTTAAAACATTATTTACTAAATTTAATTTTTTTTTAAAGTCAGGATATAGAGGGTGAGCCATCAGTTGGTTTTTTATGTTGGTATTATTTTGACAGTTGGTAACACTTCCATGCTCAACATATTAACAGATATGGGGTTGTCCAAAACGAACGCAGGAAAGTAAACGCATATTAAAACAAGAAAGATTGATAATCAAATCAAGTTGGGTACTTTATTTTGAAGGTTCATTTATACCATTTATGTATGAAAAATAATATCGCTCAAATGTTCACCACGACTGGATTTACAGACGTCCACGCGTGAGACGAAATTTTCAATGACATTTTGCAACATGGTCGGTTCTATGGCATTTACCTCGGCAATGATGTTGTTTTTGAGTTATTGGAGGGTGGCTGGTTTGTTGACGTAGACTTTGGTTTTCAAATATCCCCATAAAAAGAAGTCCAAGGGAGTCAAATCGCACGATCTTGGTGGCCATGGCACATTTCCTCTTCGCGAAATCACGCGATCACCGAAGAAGGACTGCAATCGATGGATATTGAGTTGGTTGTGTGGCATGTTGCACCGTCTTGTTGGAAATAAACATCGTCCATATCCATTCCTTCAAGTTGCGGCAAAAAATTGTCCTCTATCATCACGTGATATCGCTCAGAATTGACGGTAACGGCGTCCCCGGCCGCATTTCCGAAAAAGTAAGGTCCGATGATGCCTTTTGACCACAATGCACACCACACAGTCACTTTTTGAGGATGCATCGGCTGCTCTTGATACTCACCGGGATTTTCGTTCGCCCAGATGCGGCAGTTTTGCTTGTTTACCGTCCCATTCAAAGTGAAATGCGCTTCGTCGCTGAACATGATTTTTGATGAAAAATTGGCGGTGTTCAAGAAGCCAATCTGAGAACGTTCGGCGCGAAAAATGGTCGGCCCGACGCAGCTCTTGCGTCAATTGGATCTTGTATGCGTGTACATTCAAATCCTTGTGGAGAATGCGGAGCAAACTGGTTCTCGAAATGCCCAATTCTTGGGATCGACGCGTTGTTGATTGTTTCGGATCGTCTCTCACACTCTCCTTCACAACAGCAATATTTTCCGGTGTGCGAACGCTCCTTGGCCGGCAGATTTGCCACAGAACCTGATGCCTCGAATTTACGCACCAGACGACCGATGGTTGTTTCGTTTGGGCGGTTGTTGCGACCGAAATGTTCAAGAAGCGCGCGAAACATGTTTTTTATTTTTGCACCATTTTTGTAGTGTTCTTGAATAACTTTAATGCGGTCTTCAATCGAATACGACTCCATACCGATCAATGGTAAACATTCAACTAACAAAATGGCATGTCGGTGACAGAAAACAAAGATGGCGTCTATGTCAAATTGACGTTTACTTTCCTGCGTCCCTATTGGACAACCCATTATATTGTGTCAAACTTCCGGTGTGAGCAATGGATCGTTTTAATCTTGAAGAAAGGTGGAAAATGTTGAAAAACTATTTTCAAATTGCGAAAATTGAGAAGACTGTTTGGTCGGAATGAAGCTCCGTCCGCGACTGGTATAAGAAAATTCGCGAAACTGGCGTGCTTGTGGATAACAGACGGTATGAGCGTGTTCGACCCCTACTTGCAACGAAAACATTGCCGCTGTTGCCCAGAGTGTGTATGAAAACGGAAGAATGACAACTCGTCACAGAGCATAAGTGGGCATCAGTCGCACTTCTGTGCGGAGAATATTGCATAACTACCTGGGAGTATTTCCTTACAAGGTGCAACTTGTGTAAGGCTTAAAACAAAATGACCATCCGCTTCGATATCGTTTCTCTGTGTGGGCTCTAAATCAGCTGGAAACGGACGTCAAGTTTGGACGCCAAATCATCTTTTCGAACGAAGCCCATTTCCATCAGGGTGGTTACGTTAACAAGCGGGACTGTACGATTTGGGGTTCTGAAAATCCACATGTCATAGAAAAACCAATGCATCTGGTACTGTTAAGGACACTAGCGATCCTCAAAAAATTGATGCGTTTAAGGAAAACATCCGTCGAGCTATTGATGAAATAGACTAACAAACTAGACCAGGCCAGTCGCGTCATTTAGCTGAAATTGTTTTTCATAAATAATCGGAAGATTCTTTTGAATAAAGTATCAAGTGTTACATATTATTGAAGAGTGTAGTTTTAGTACCAATTTAAAAAGGAAACCAACCCGTATATTGTAATAATTACAAATTTCCCGTCGGTTTGTTAACCGGTTTTTCAGTAGTTTTACATATTTGGTGAATTTTGTTGTTAAATACGTTGAAGGGATCATAAAACACCTCTAAAAGATACTGCAGCTATTAACAAAGGCAAAGAGTCAAAAACTTCTATCCTTGCATCATTAATGTAACAGAAAACTACTAAATTCATCTGTTATCGGATACTTGGAAGAATACAAAAAAACTTATTTGATCATCACTGTCTGTTTTCAAGTCTTATTTATTTATTATATCGGGTTAAAAATAGCAACAGCTGACACTCCACCTTTTCGTCAATATTAATGTTACCCAATTCTTTTGTAATCATAATCATGTATCGAATAAAGGCCATTTATTACTATTATTATTATTGTTTATTCTCCACAACCCTATCTATTCAACTGGTTCTGTCCATGTGGGCCGGATTTGGTTGGTCATTTTCATTATGGTACTCCAAAAATGTTATTATTATTATGTGAATGTGTTTAACTCTGTATTTTATTTATGATATTATACTAAGTGACATATAAATCCGAACACCCAGTTTAAAAATTTTAATAAAATTTTGTATAAGTACTTAATGAAGCATAATAAGTAAATGATAAAAATTTCAAAATGATTGCACTGCTTTAAAGCCCTTTGACCTTTAATAATGTGTGGATGCACCCTGATGTGCTACGCATTCTCTAACGCGCCTAGGCATGCTTCTGATCAGGTGGTCAATGTCCTCCTGTGGTATCTCATTCCAGGCAACCACCAACTCCTCTCGAAGTGCTTCTAGAGTCTGAGAAGGACGTTGCAAATTGAGCAATCTCCTACCCATCATATCCCACACGTGCTCAATTGGGGATAAGTCGGGAGATCTTGGTGGCCATGGTAACAATGTGACATCATTATGTTGAAAGAAGTCTATTGTGACTCTTGCAACATGTGGTCGGGCATTATCTTGTTGGAAAGTTGGATCTGCCAGGGTGTCAAGATAGGGTAAAAGATGGGGTTCTAGAACTTCGTGGATATAACGCTGCGCGTTCATGTTACCTCTGGTGAAGATTAAAGGTGACCTGGAACCATAAGCTATAGCACCCCAAACCATAACTCCAACAGTGTGATGAACATGTCTTTCAACAAAAAACTGTGGATTCCTCCTTTCACCACGTCGCCTTCTAACCCTGGCACGACCATTGTGCATGTCTAGACAAAATCGAGACTCGTCACTAAAGACAATACTGTTCCATTCCTGATCCCAGAGTGACCGTTGTCTGCACCACTCAAGGCGATTACGTCGGTGTTCTCGAGTTAAAGGCAGGACCCAGCGTGGCCGGTATGAAAACAAGCCAAAACTTCTCGTTCGTCGGTAAACACTTCGCATGCCAATAGGTCTTCCGTGTTCTGCAAACCATTCATTTGCAATGGACCTGGTAGTGGAGAAACGGTCCCTTAAGGCCAAAAATCTTAGGCGGCGATCTTCACGGTCTGTTGTTCTACGGCGGCGTCCAGTGCCCCTTGCTCTTTGCGTACGGCCTTCTCGAAGCCATGCCTGATAACACCTAACCACAGTGTCTACACTTCTTTGCACTCTAACTGCAATTGCCCGAAAAGAAAGTCCAGCTTCCCGAAGTCCCACTATACGGCCCCTATCAAACTCACTAAGTTGACGAAATCGTACAGGTCTCCGTACTCTAGGCATCGTAACCGATCGTAAAGGATGTCAAGAACCAAAATCCGCCAACGTTGATTCTTTACTGCGGCTGAAATATTCATTTTTAGAGCGTTAGTGAATTAAAAAAAAGCAGTATAAAAACCGGAATGTCCAACTGATAAGGCTGAACATTTTTTCACTTGTTATTTACAGTAAGATAAATACATTCACCAACTTTTATTAAAATAAAACCATTTAAACTGGGTGTTCGGATTTATATGTCACTTAGTATATAACTGTTTACAAGTTTCTCAACGGCACGTTAATTCGCCCGAAACAACACAACTTGCAATAATCAATGGTTAGAGCCATGTCTGGTATGATTTACTCATCCAAATCATGACCTACGTAGCTAAAAAAGAACGGATTTTTCGGTATCACTGTTTAAGGCAAAAGTACTCAATTTCTGAGACCATTTGGGTAGTTTTGAAAGCATGACCTCAAATTTCGAAAAAAAGATACCGTCCAATTTTTTAAATATTTGGCATCCAGTTTTTAAGCACTCGTACTAGAATATCAAATTCATTCGTTATTTTATTAAATAAATAAAAACAACTATAGGAATATTTAAGAAATTAACCATTCAAAACTTTAGCTTAAGCAACATTAAAACATCACTGCTGAGTTGAAAGGTTAGTTTTGAAACTTTAACAAGAGCGCTTTCTTTACAGAATACAGGGTGTCCGCAAAGTTGGGGTTTTCCTTTACACGACGTGTAGATCTTGAAAACATAAGCAATTTTTCTTAGTACCATATACACCAATGTCTTAAGGGAACCGAGATAAAGGGATCTGCAACATCAAAAATATCTGAATACCGTCCTGTAGCCGCGACATCCCCGAGTGGTACTAGGACACTAGCTCAACCCGACGACAGTACTGGGTCGGGGTCAGTGTGTCAGGTCAGTATGCAACCTTCAACCGACGGTTACGGTCACGCATGTAGAGGTAATCGCGTAGACGAGAATCCCTCAACAAGCACTACGTGGCTAGAGAAGTGCAAGTATCAACAACTAAAGTGTGGCAAACGCTGCGTGAAGAGGGGCTGTATCCGTTTCACGTCCAACGTGTACAAGCCCTTCACCTGACGATTTTCCAGCGAGAGTGCGGTTTTGTGAGTGGTTGTTGCATCAACATGACAATAATCCGGACTTTTTGAAGTGCATATTGGTGACATACGAATCTACGTTCACGCGTAATGGGGTGAATAACTTTCGCAACACTCATGTTTGGTCAGTAGAAAATCTGCACGCTGTCCGTCGGGCACATTTTCAACAAACATTTTCGGTGAATGTTTGGGCTGGCATGGTGAACGGTATGCTCATTGGACCATTTATTCTCCCAAATCGATTGGACGGGATGCAATACCTAGACTTTTTACGCAACATTTTGCCTTCCTTGTTTGCCTGCGTCTGCTCGGTAGCGCATCAGCTGATTTCATTTTCTGTTGGAGCGGTATGATTTCGGGCAGAGACGTACTTAGCCCTTCTCGTCAACTGGAGAGTGAGTACTTTTTCCTTTATTTTTTTTTTCACTTGGTGGCCCTCGTTATTTCAAGGGTAGTTGTTTCTGAAAAGGAAAACCCCAACTTTGCGGTAGTAGTCCACGTAAAATAGAAGTGCGTTGCCGCTAAGCGTGTTATGTGTGATTGTGCGGCCGGCAGTTGGAGAGAAACTTTACCTCCGACTGTCGAGCTAGTTTGACTACAGATCTTACACCAAAAATACTTACTGAAATGACACCTGTAGATAGTGAGCCTTTCGATAGGCAACCTAAACGTAGCCAGATTGTTCAGGCCGATACTCATGCTGGCTAGATTGGTGTTATTGCAACTGACACTGATCCCGAAGTCGGATTCGACATCGCACGTGCACGGATGCAGTAGTAGTTTGTCTTTCGGACACCTATAGGAAGGTCCTGGTGGGATGTACTCAGCCATTACCAATTCGAGGAGCAGCAGGATGAGCAGCAAAGGGAGGCGGACGGAGCTGGTGAACATGGTCGATAGGCTGTCGAAACTGAAAGAAGAAAACAAACACTCAACGATGTAATCATTGAAATTTATGGTCACTTTGTTTTCGGCACGTTAGTGATAGGTATTTATGTAACAAGGGCGTAAAGTGGGGGCTCTAACACACTTTTTGCGCCCGAATTAATTTTATTCACCACAAGCTACGTCGGCTTATTTTTCTTTTCTGAGTGGATCAGTTGTGGAGGCACCATACAGATAACGCCGATTTTGTTATGTCAATGAACGAAGTTTTGGGTTTTTAAAGCTTCAAGACTACTTGCAAGCACCATTAGAAGCTGCTACAATGTATCTACAAGTCGCGATTTGAAAATGGTTTTAGTTTTTCTGCTCATAAAGACTCAAAAAAATTGATTCCGACAGGTTATCAAAATACGATCAGAAACTACTACGTACTATTGGATAATTCCTACAACAAAAAATTAAATGACTTCGCTTCCATTGTTCAAGTTTCAACTATGTTTGGCCAACGCAGTAGAAAAAAAAAGAGTCAAGTTGGTTGACTCTGCAGTACATTAGTTTATTGATAAGTTCCGACAGATTCTTAAAAACTCTAAACCCTTTTGTCCTCGCAATACTAGTAACCTTTACTGAAAATTGTTGAAATTTCATTTCTTTTTCTCTTTCTGACTTAGTCACCAAGGGTTACATACCCAACGGAAATAGGCGACAGAAACATAATAATTAAGTGGCAAGTTACAAAGGTGTTCTGATGAAATCATTCTAAGAAATTGGTTAGAAGGCCTGGTCACTAAAAATATTCAAATATTGGGTAAGACAAATAATCATCAGAATGCACTAAATTATACGGTTTTAATTTTGGTTCCGCTTCACTTCTTCAAGTAATCGAAGATTACTCAGTTTCTGCGTATCAATGTGGCATAAAACGAATGCAGCTTATTAAATGTATAAGTATAGTGTTTGAAGAAAGTTTTACACTGACCTACTACGTGAGCTCACATGTAGAAAAGGCGATAACCTCGTATTCGTGGGTGATATTATTCTACTCGATTTTTTTCCATAATCTGGTTTATTGTATGTCCTTTAACATGAAACAAGATCGGTGCAAAGGAACCAGGCACAAAGCATATGGAAAAATTGACTGAGACTTGATTTGTCTAAAAATTCAGTATGATATAATTCTTGCCTTTCCGAACTGATCTGCAAAAATGGTGAATGTGTTAATTGTATTCTTCAAATCAAAAACTCTTACAATCCGTAGACTAAAAGAAATAAATCTTTAAAACACCTTGTAGGAAGGTGTTGGGAGATGTCATGTTGAACGTCAGTTTCGATGCAATTTGATCTTCATATGCTTATATACTAAGTGACATATAAATCCGAACACCCAGTTTAAATGGTTTTATTTTAATAAAAGTTGGTGAATGTATTTATCTTACTGTAAATAACAAGTGAAAAAATTTTCAGCCTTATCAGTTTGACATTCCGGTTTTTATACTGCTTTTTTTTAATTCACTAACGCTCTAAAAATGAATATTTCAGCCGCAGTAAAGAATCAACGTTGGCGGATTTTGGTTCTTGATATCCTTTACGATCGGTTACGATGCCTAAAGTACGGAGATCTGTACGATTTCGTCAACTTAGTGAGTTTGATAGGGGCCGTATAGTGGGACTTCGGGAAGCTGGACTTTCTTTTCGGGCAATTGCAGTTAGAGTGCAAGAAGTGTAGACACTGTGGTTAGGTGTTGTCAGGCATGGCTTCGAGAAGGCCGTACGCAAAGAGCAAGGGGCACTGGACGCCGTCGTAGAACAACAGACCGTGAAGATCGCCGCCTAAGATTATTGGCCTTAAGGGACCGTTTCTCCACTACCAGGTCCATTGCAAATGAATGGTTTGCAGAACACGGAAGACCTATTGGCATGCGAAGTGTTTACCGACGAATGAGAAGTTTTTTCTTGTTTTCATACCGGCCACACTGGGTCCTCCCTTTAACTCGAGAACACCGACGTAATCGTCTTGAGTGGTGCAGACAACGGTCACTCTGGGATCAGGAATGGAACAGTATTGTCTTTAGTGACGAGTCTCGATTTTGTTTAGGCATGCACGATGGTCCTGCCAGGGTTAGAAGGCGACGTGGTAAAAGGAGGAATCCACAGTTTTTTGTTGAAAGACATGTTCATCACACTGTTGGAGTTATGGTTTGGGGTGCTATAGCTTATGGTTCCAGGTCACCTTTAATCTTCATCAGAGGTAACATGAACGCGCAGCGTTATATCCACGAAGTTCTAGAACCCCATCTTTTACCCTATCTTGACACCCTGGCAGATCCAACTTTCCAACAAGATAATGCCCGACCACATGTTGCAAGAGTCACAATAGACTTCTTTCAACATAATGATGTCACATTGTTACCATGGCCACCAAGATATCCCGACTTATCCCCAATTGAGCACGTGTGGGATATGATGGGTAGGAGATTGCTCAATTTGCAACGTCCTCCTCAGTCTCTAGAAGCATTTCGAGAGGAGTTGGTGGTTGCCTGGAATGAGATACCACAGGAGGACATTGACCACCTGATCAGAAGCATGCCTAGGCGCGTTGGAGAATGCGTAGCACATCAGGGTGCATCCACACATTATTAAAGGTCAAAGGGCTTTAAAGCAGTGCAATCATTTTGAAATTTTTATCATTTACTTATTATTCTTCATTAAGTACTTATACAAAATTTTATTAAAATAAAACCATTTAAGCTGGGTGTTCGGATTTATATGTCACTTAGTATATAATAGATCCGCAGGGTTATTACGTAAAAAACCTAAAAAACGTCAAAAAAAAACGAAAAAGTGTCAACTTGATGCTTAAGTAGTTCCTTCCTAGTGTGCAAATAGTACATTCTGCGTTTGCTCGCATACTGTTTTTTCAATGCCGAAGATATTTTGGTTTTAAACGGTGAATTATTGCTTTGAATAAAACAGGGTATACAGTTACTTCAGCTAAACTTTCGAACGCATTGCATCTAGTTACTAGAAGATGACGATTAAATTTGCACTACGCAAAAAATTGCATGTAATTGCTTGGAAACCGAATCACCTTCAAAAAAACTGATTAAAGTGACTGAATATCCGAATTGCCGTATTCTTTTAATTATAACGAGTCTTGCGGAAGGTGGGAATTATTGCTCAAGAGTTCAATAACTGCAGTTTTTACGACAAGTTGTTGCAAATTCTGTGAAAATGTCACGGCTCAATTTATTTTCTGCTCTAGCTGTTCCATCTTTGATGATTGCGCGGGATAGATTGAGAACTGCTATTCAAAAATTCTAAGGAACTGTCACTGAGTCAGTTTGGTTATTTTCCAATAGGACCAGCACGAAATCCAGACTGATGGACAGTAAGTAAATTGTTCATTTCTAAATATTCAATTAGTTGGAGATCAACAGCTTTTTCTAATATCTTTGAAAAGAAACACAGTATGCTGACGGGTCGTAAATGATCAAGAGTTATGGGATTTTTTACTTTGGCTAGAGGAAGAATTATTGCTTCTTTCCAGTCATTAAGCTCCCAGATTCCAAACATATATTAACAATATGAGTTAGATACTGAAGTATTTCAGGTAAACAAAGACCAAAATAGGACCATATTTATTGGATAAGCGTCTCAATGCTTTTTTTGCTTCTAGAGCCAGTAACATTTTTAGTTTTTGATTCCAGGATTATGAATATTTTATCGATAACACGGACTATGTGGGCTGATGTAACACAGGGATCTATTCTCGGGCCAATACTGTAAGTGTTTATTATTCATAACAACCCATACCATACTAACTGTGTGATACGGTGTGAAGTAAAAAACCGCGCTAGTTAATAATAATAATAATAATAATGAATTTATTTTCCATTAGACATGCATAAACATGTATAGGTTATGTCAAAAAGATACAATAAGTAAATATGTACAAAGTAAATAAATAAATAAAAAAAAAACAAACAAATAACATCCAACAACAAACAAGTTAAAATTAGTGATAAAAACGATATTTAAAAACTGACAAAGTCGCTAATTGCATAAAAACAGTTACTTATAAAGTAGCTTTTCAGCTCAGATTTGAATTGGCCTATTGAGGTGATCCTTTTAATGGAGTCAGACAGGTTGTTAAAAATTTTAGGACCTAAAATACATGTTGATCTGCTGCCTAACTTATAACGCGCAAAAGGTATATGGATGTCGTTTTGTCTGTGAGTGCCCATTTGATGTATATGACTATTCAAGGTGAAATCATCTTTGTTTAAAAAAGTATAGATAGCCATATTGTAGAGAAAAAGCGAAGGCACTGTCACTATTTTTAATCTCTTGAATAATTCTCTGCAACTATAAGTGCTGCTTACTCCCACCATACACCTCACCAGCCGTTTTTGACTTAGGAACACCTTAGAAGCGTTCGCCGATGAACCCCAGAAGCACAAAGCATACAGCATGCGAGACTCAACCTGACCATGATACAACATCAATAGCTGATTCTCTGTGAAAACATATCTCAGGTTTTTGAATAAATATGCTTGTGAATTTATTTTTGACGATAGATAATCGCAATGTCCTTTAAAGTTGAGACATTGGTCTAAGTGGAGCCCTAAAAACTTAGTGCTTTTATCACTCTGCAGTGCTGAACCGTTCAGAACAAGCTGAATCGCTGGTATCGACTTTTGAATGTTACGGAACCTTATAACTGTGGTCTTCTCGCTATTAAGAAGCAACTGATTTTCTTCAAACCAGCTATTGATGTTGTACACTAAGGTGTTACATTTATTTATTAAATCAGCCTCGTCTTTATTTGATATAATGATGGAGGCATCGTCTGCATACAACGTGAAATGTGCTTCAGGGAAACATTGCTCCAGGTTATTTATATAAAGGGAAAACAGCACTGGCCCCAATATAGATCCTTGTGGTACGCCTATATTTATGTTAATCATACCCGATTTGACCTGCTTCAGTTGACCAGCGTTGTTGTGTGTTATTGCCACGAATTGT